TGTGCAATAGACGGCTCTGTTTGCCGTCAACACGCCCCCGGAGGGAACTTTGCCGAAAGATTTTTCTTAACAGATGGCTTAAAGCTTGAGAAACTGCAGGGTTTTCTACAATTTCAAGAGGACTTACGATACATTTTGTGGTACTAGCATTAATCAGGATTATCTGATTGTCGTGGTTTAGAGACATATTTTTCGTGAGAGGCTTCCTAGACGTTTTAAAGAGCTTCTATTATTATGATGCATATTAGGATACCGTGTGAGAGTATGGCAGAGGTCGGTAACGTTATTTTTCGTCACGTTAGACTTTTATATTACGGAAGGAGCATCGGCGCTTGCTGTTCTGTCCATCTTCGGAGCCCCGTAGACAAATCCACCCAGTTCATCCACGGCGTTATTTTGAAATCAGATGAAAACCAGCTGCACCTATTGGGGAAACCGATACAGGAAAAGTTGTCTAAACAGGACATCAAAGAACGTACACTGACTGATGACCTCCCACATGCGTAGCGACATTTCTGTTACTGAGCATGTTGTAGATAGAAATTTTGGAAGAATTGGTCTAACACTTGTCGGTCAGTCAGGTCTCCACGTTGAGGAATGGTTTTCTTCCAAGTATCGTAACGCTCAGAGAAATCACTAGTAAACACACTAGGCGTGATGCACCTGTTAACATTGTTCGGGAGCGTCTTCACTACAGCGAATACTTGTGCACGTGGTCTGTCACACTGTGCTCGTGTAAGTCAGACTCTGTATAGTGAACCAGTCCTATATATTATTGGGCCAGAATGGTATGAGTTGAAAGCTCGGAGGCGAGAGAGTTCTAATCCTAAATATTTTAGGTGTCTGTCCCACCACAATGAGGGTGACCCGCACAAATAGGCGATGAAATATTCAAAAATACAGGAACAATACCACTAAATGTAAGAATAAAAATGCGATATACAATGTCCCAATAAGGAACAGACTCACAGTTTATTGTTCGATGTACCGGATCGCATCGGGCTCACAACTAAAGATGCCACATGTATTCGGAATTTTATAACGTCTTTACACGTGACACCTTTATAATCGAGGTATACCAACCCATTCAAATCAGGTGTCAGAAGTGAAGTGATTGGAAAGTATATTTGAAAAGCTATCGATGTTTTGGTAAGTGTTTGGTGTGAGCTGTGTATCAGCCACAAGGAATGCATAGCACAGTGTGCTTACTTGTGATATAGTACAGTTGCGTGGTCAAGCGTCTTCAGCCAGGTGTGTCCAGTAAAATTGTGTCAGAATCTACTGTTGAGGACTTGCAGAACCATTTATTTAGGAGAGTTATTTGCTACAACAAGACCATATTTAAATACAGATATCTGTGTATACCAAGCGCAATTGTATGTCTCAAGGTAGCTTTTGTTTAAACATCTCGACATAGTTTATTATAACTAATAGGATTTGCGGCGTAGTTTGGATATATCAATTCGAACATTAGTTACAGATTCAGACGGGAGCTTTTAATTTTAAATTAGTTTTTTGATTGGATTTATACCTTAATTGGCCAGTTGACAGCTAGTTGGGTCTCGAACGTATACTCATCTAGTCACTGGATTGCCGTTAACGGTGATTTTAACCAACTGATCTACTTGCTCACAACACGAATTTATGATTTTTATCAGTTTGTATTTCGTTTGACCATTAAGTACTTTTCTTCCGGTAAATTATCTGTGTGTAAAGCGAAATTTACTGACTTCATTTATGGAAGTCCCCTATAAGCGTTCGATTAAAAAAGGGCAGTGATTTTTGAACTTGTGATTTTCCTTGCTTTGTGTGCTTTTTGCACCAAAAAGCATTCTTGGTCTACTTTACGTAAACGTACGTCGGTTAAGGTTCGAAATGTTTGCTAAACTTTGTCCTGTGGTACCTTTTTTTACTCATTAACTGACACTCGTGTTCACATTGTGATCATATTGTGTTTCCAAACCTTTTTAATCAAATTACAATGGTTAATAAGAATTATAACTGTGGACAACCAAACTGCTTGTTCACCGTTGAGAAAGGAATGCAGTACAATGAATGTAAAAAGTGATACCATAAGATGTGTACACGTCTAAGTCCTACGGCATACAAATATGCTTGAAGCCTAACTCGCATTGACTTTGTATGTTTTGCTGTACAAATAGGAAGTTACTAATCCAGAAGGCTATGAGCCTATAGGCTTTAGCCTGTAAAAAAACGATGGCTGTTGCGCTGATAACACGAGCACTGACGGTGAAGAATGTGTCAGTGTAGTACGTGCTGCTACCGGACCAGTTAAACATCCGATTGTGATTGACGGGAAAGTGAAATCTCCATTAACATTGACGAGGAGTGAAGTGCCGCTTGATATTGACATTGGTAATCATACACCTCCAGTGGAAATTGAAGACCCGGATAAAACTGTTACCGTTCCAAATAGTCCCGGTGTGGCTGTACTGAGTAGTGATAAATGGACTTCAGTACAGAGAGAAAAAAATGAGAAGAAAAAAGCTGTAGGCTAAGAGCATCTGGTTATCGAGTCATTGGAAGAGATGGTATGAGAAACAAAAACTCCACTATGTGTTAAGACAGACCTCTCTGAGTGGTCAGCCATTTTTCATAAGTTAAGAGAATCTTCAGATAAGGAACCAAAGGCTAGATTTGAATACGACCTCAGTCATATTAAGTCTTTAATAAGCAAACTACTCCCAGATACAGTTTCAGGAGTTAGTATTTTTAAGCTTTATAGAATAGGACAAAAAGTGGATTCTGAAAGTCCTCAGAGAAGTCGCCTCTTGAAAGTTACATTTGCCACGGTTGAAAAAAGGAACCTGATTCTAGGAAACTCACGTAAACTGTTTGGATCCGGAATATACTTCCGTGAGGATCTCAGCCTAGCCGAGCGTATTAAGAGACGAGTTGCAGAAGTGGAAATAAATGAGCGTCGCCGAAACTGTGAAAGAAATCTCGTTCTTAAGGGTTTTCAAATTGTAAAAGTTCGGAGCAAAACGATCCACAAATCACTCTAGGTGGTAAGGGAAAGTTTTCTACAGACTTAAAGGTATGCTAAACAAATGCTCGCAGTCTACAATTTAAATGGCAGAGCTCAAGTCAATGGTGCATAAAGAAAAACCGGATGTTATTGTTGTCTCAAAAACTTGGTTAAAGTCAGAATTATTAGATAATGAAATTCAGTTGACTGGTTTTCTAATCAATAGGGCTGGGAGACTAAACTGTAGGGGAGGCGGGATTATCCTGTACACGAAAAGTACCCTAACCATAAGAGCAGCTGAGACAGCGGCACATGTTTCAGGAACATGTGAACTAGTGCGATGTATGCTGAAATGTAAACGGCAAGATATTCAATTAGTTATAGTATATAGCATTCCAGAACGTGTATCAGATGATTTTATCCAAAGTAAACTTGAGTTCTGGTGTAACAAGGGTAAAAGCCCTGTAGTACGTGTCTTTAATAAACCGTAAATAAACTGGGTTAACTTAGAAGTAGGGTCATCGATAACGTCGTTCGATTGCAAACTGTTAGAAACCTCGATTGGATTAGCTTTATTACAACATATTAGAAACCCCACAAGATATGACTTAAGAAATTCTTCTTCTTTTTTAGATTTAGTCTTCACACACGGTGATGACGTTGGTCAGATGACTTTCCTCCCACCACTAGGGAGAAGTGGCCATGCAGTCATATTATTGAAATTCATGGCTGAGATTGCCTGTCAAACAGTTGCACCGGCCCGTCCTAATATATTGAAGGCAGATATGAAGGCAGTCAACTCCGCAGCATCGGCTGAAAACTGGGAAATTGACTCAAGGGCATCAGTACAAGAGACATGGACTCTTTTCAGGCAGTTATACAATCGGGTAACTCAACCATACATACCCTGGACAGTTCCAAAGAAGAAGAAGAAACACGGCCATCCTTGGATAGGCCGGGATGTTCGACGTTTACTAGGATAAAAAAAGAAATGTTGGGATGTTGGCACAGCAGGTGCGATGGAACGATACAGATCGGTAATAAACAAGTGTAGAACAAAAATTCGGGAAGCTCAAAGAAAATATGAAATGCATTTGGCACAATCTGCACTCAAGCAGCCCAAGAGAATATTCCCGTACATAAACTACAGAACAAGGATGGATCATTGGATTCCAAACCTAATTAAAAAAGGGAGTGAATCAGAAATGGTAGAGGAAGATCAGGAAAAAGCAGATGCTACGGTTGACTATTTTGGGGCAGTTTCCACTCAGGAACCTCCTCTAGACAAAGTGTGTTTCTTATGGACTGGAAGGACGCAATCGGCACTCCCATACATTAAATAGGACTAAGACAACTTCCATCGAACTACAGACCTGTAAGCCTCACCAGTGTTGTAGTTAAAATATTGAGAAGAATAGTCAAACGAACCATAATGGCATTTATGGAAATCAATAACTTGCTAAACATAGAACACCATGGTTTTAGAAAGGGTCTATATTGTACAACGAACCTCCTTATAGCAAGAGAATTTTGGATGGAGGCTCTAGGCAACGGAAACTCAGTGGACGTTGTCTACATAAACTTCAATAAGGCTTTTGACAAGGTGCCAACTAATAGACTGCTATGAAATTTGGAAAACCTTGGTATTGCCGGACCTCTTTTAAAATGGATTAAGGATTTCCTAGTAGGTCGTAGACAGAAAGTAAGAGTAAATTCCAAGTGCTCCATCTGGAGACCAGTACTTAGTGGAGTACTTCAAGGTTCCGTCCTAGGTCCTTTATTTTTTATAATGTGTGTTAATGATCTTCCAAATATAGTACATTCTCCAATGTTATTATACGCTGACGATAATGACTGGAGACACAGACGCATGTGCTCTTCAGGCAGACCCAAATAATATGACTAACTGGTCTAAAGAGTGGCTGATGCCTGTAAACGCGGCAAAGTGTGTCAACATGCACTTTGGGGATTCAAAGGTTAATAGGTACAGCAAAAGAGAGGAACCATTATCCGTGGTTTGGTCTCATAAGGATCTAGGAGTGACAATGAGTCATGATCTTAAGACGACGGCCCATTGCTGGGAGGTCGCAGCTAAGGGGTTTCGAACCCTCTGGGCTTTAAAACGAGCATTCACTAAGTTAGATACTACCATGTTCACTACAGTATACACATTCCTAGTGAGAACTAAGTTAGAGAACTTCGTTCAGGCTGCAAGCCCCTGTTTAAAAGGTGATTTGGATATCCTAGAAAAAGTACAGAGGGCAGCTATTCGTGCAATTCCAGAACTCCGGGTTTTACCATACAAAGAGCGGCTTGAAAAGCTGAACCTCTTTACTCTGTTCTGTCGCAGATTAAGGGGAGATCTAATTTTGATGTACAGAATGCTGATAAGTGATTTTGGAATTAACTTATTCTCTCTTTTTCTTCCCACTAGATCGGGACATCTCAGAGGACATAGCAGACGAGTAGAAAAGCCAAGAACGAACAAACTATCCGTAGCATACAGGTTTTCATACCGAGTCATCTATACTTAGAACCTGCTGCCCGAAGCAGTGGTGTCCGCACCTTCAATCGACTCTTTCAAGAGAAGACTGGACACTCACAGAAGCATACTAGAAAAGGAATAACACAGGCCATAGGCCTTCTGTCCTTATTACACAAATCTGAATCTAAAATCTTTAGAATTTTCAGCCATCAGGATAGCAAATATACTTAGTTGAATTAAACTTAGTATTATGGGCTTTGTGAAAATGCATATTTGATCAGTGTATCTGATGTCATTTGTCCAGTCATGATATCTTATCCGACACAAGGTGAAGCTGCTGATAAGTTAATACTGACGTCAGGAGAGAAGTTTTAGGTAGTGATAATAACTCGGTTAATGTGTTTTTGAACTTTCATTGAATGATTTTGTTCGATTGTATGTTACACGAGTTCAATCGACACTTTGACATGTTATATTTGTTAGGATTTCACTGAGATGAAGATAGTTCATATCATGATAGTCATCAGAGAGTCCTGGTACTCGGTTTTGTGCCATTTATTTTTGTTTAGGGAGGCATATCTGCAACTTTGACGGGACCGGTGCTTCCTATCACAATCGAACGCATGGCAAGCAGTGCTACAGTCTAAAATGTTATGACTGGGCTATTTTGATCACGATAGGGCTCTCATAGGACTGGAATGTTACATAATCTTATGTTTTTCGTAAGTAATATTGACCTGAAAGACTATAATCTATTTAGATTTATTCATATGTGCACATCACTTTGTCTTATTCACAGAAATATATAAGTAGGAACGTTTTTTAAAGCTTTAGGTTTTGGAAATTCAAAGAATGTCTAGTCGTATATTCCTTCAAATAAAAGCATACTATGGGAATCTATATAAGCGATTTTGTTATATATCACTCTTCCCCTTCTTCAGTAATAGTTTCCTTATCTATGCAGAAACATTTTATTTAACGAACAAATCGATACAACCTAGTATTTTTTAAAAAGTTTTACACGCATCCACAATGAGAGATAATAAATAAAAACGAAATCGTCTGCTTATCTTCAAGATACCTCTGTAGTATATAATATATTCATTGTAAAAGTATTACATGTATTTATTTTAGCACATTTTGTCTTGGGAAGGTAAAAAAGAAATGCCATGAAAGAATAAGAATGTGAAGTGAGTCTTAAATGATTCATAGAAAGGAACTAAAGGACTTCATTTGATTCTTACTGTTACAAGTAATGAACTTGTAAGCGTTGTAACACAGTGTTAGCGGGACATCGACCGGATTAAAGTATGCTCAATGCACGATTGCTTTGGTGCACGCTGATTGGCTCATTCTTATCCAACCAGCGTTTGGCAATACTTAGTGAACACTCTAGGAATCTTCTCATGTGAAAAACTATAAATATACTAATGTTTTCCTTATTGCACTTGATTGCTTCTTACTTCCATCTAACCTTGTTATTTAGAATATAATCTCTTTCCTGTTCAACCGTGTTCTGATTTGGCGACTTGTCGAGTGAATCGGTGTCCGAGAATACTAAGCAATAGGAATAGTTGGGTTATAACCGTAAGAGAGAATTATAACACACAGATTCCATCTAAAATGTATGAGCATTAAGTTTGACGGGGGGGGGGAGAAAATCGAAAGTGTAACTTTTCAGTGAATTGTTCCACTATTTCAAGATTGTCAACATAACGATGATGAGAATATCAAGAACTTACTTCTAGCTATTTTGATCATAAACTTTTAACCTTTTAAATTGTTACGATACATTTTTGTCATACTTGTTTGATTTTTTGTTTTTTAGTGGTACAACCCTTAAAAAAAGCACATCAGAATGATTACTCAAGTAAATAGAAAATAAAATACACAAAACAATGCCAGATTACTGTCATGAGGAGAATTTAAAACAAACAGAGAATGTTACTATGCATGAAGCCAATAAACATTATCCTAATGATCCAGGCCTAGATGTAGCTTCACTTAAAATCATTGAGTTATCTAAAAAAATTAGAGAATTGAATGCTTCACTTGTAAGTGAACGAAACAAATGTAATAACTTATATCAAATAGTTAGAAAGTTGGAATCTCAATCGGTTAACTCATCAAACAAAAATGTTCTATGTAGTTTATGTAAACAAAACAATATCACAACGAACGAAAACATTGAAAATATATCAGACGATGCAGAACAAGAGAAGAAGAAGCAGAAGAAGAAGGAATTAAAAAAACTAGAATTTGTTGTTATGGTATTACGTCAAAAAATTCAAATCTTAAATCATGATTTATTATTAGCGAAAAAAGTAATCGAATCAGAAACTGGTGAATGGATACCAAATTTAAATAGTTGGTTAATAAATTTAAAATTAAAACCCGATGGAACATATGGAAATTGGCGTGGTCGACAACAACAAATCATTGCACTAAAACATCGTATTACAAAATTACAATCACAACTTACTTTAAAAAATTCTTCACACATAGAAGATGTAGTTTCTATGGAGACTATAGAAAATGAAACATTTTCTGGTGCAACATTATTGGATATTCATTCATTTCAAAATAATAATAATAATAATAATAATGATGATGATAAGATGACTTCTAAAACATCTAAATTGAATTCTATCATTGAACAAAATGATTATAGAATAACTAATCTTATTCAATTACAACATGATAATAAACAATTAAAAGATGAAATTGATTTAACTAAAAAAAATTTACAAAAAATTAAATTACATCATCATCATTTATTAAAAGAACAAAAAGAATTAAAACAACAAATTTTATTTTTAATAAATAAAAGTAAACATGATAATGAATTAATTGAATCATTAATACAACATAGAAATAATTTACAAAATGAATTGAATCAAATAAATCAAATGAATATTGAAAATATAAATGAAATAGAAAAATTAAATGAACAACAATTAAATTTAAAACAAATAAAAAATGGAGAAATTAAAAAATTAGAAGTAAGTAAACTAATGTTTCACTTTTTTTGTTGTTGATTGAGATTATGAATTGATGGATGATGTTAGATCAGCATTCGTTCTGTTGTGGAACTTCCTTAGCAGTGTGCATCCATAATCCTGCTTATGGGATTCGAATCTAAGACCTATCAGTCTCGCGCGCGAGCACTTAATCTTTAGACTGCTGAGCTGGACCGCATTCAATAGTGTTAATATCTAACTTCAACTAATTCACAAAATTGAGTGACACATCCATCATTGTCTTCTGTGAGTTACTATTTCACAACAAACCCGGTTGAATTCCACTGATCATTGCTTGTCACTAGAGCTCCAGGCGTGATATCCATCTACCAACCGAAGGACGTGTTTACTGGGCAGCAGTTCGTCCCGTCCTACTTTATCGAAGTGAAACATGGCCGGTAAGAGTAGAGGATATTTATGGGTTACTAGTATTTGATCATAAGTGTCTTCAAAGCATTGCTCGTATATCCTGGGATCACCGAGTAAGTAATGCAGTTATTAAGAAACGGGTACTAGGTAAGAATGGCAAATCAGTTGATGAAGTAGTGTACTGAGCCATGTTGGTAGGTGTAGACTACCTGGTTGGAATCCGCGAGACGATATCAACTAAACAGAATTACTCAAATGAATATAGAAAAAACGAATGAAATAGAAAAATTAAATGAAGAACAATTGAATTTAAAACAAATAAAAGATGTAGAAATTAAAAAATTAGAAGTAAGTGAAATATTTTATGATCAGTTTAAGGGATTGTGGAGATTGTAAAGTTATTGATTGAGATCATGAACCGATTAATGATGTTAGACCATCATTGAAAACCTAGAAGCATTGGACGGTCGTTTCGTTCTGTTGTGGAACTCTTCAGCAGTGCGCATCCATAATCCTGCTCGTGGGATTCGAATCTAGGACCTATCAGTCTCGCGCATGAACGCTTAACCTATTGGATCACTGAGCTGGCCAACATCGAATGGTGTTTGACCACAGATGCCTTAGAAATATTCCTGGCGTCTGCTGGGATCACCGAGTAAGTAATAGTAAGGATAGACGTAGGGTATTAGGGAATGATGATAAATTACTTGATGAGGTTGTGAATCTTCATCGACTGATATGGTTAGGCGACGTACTGCGTATGTCTGAACATCGAATACCACGACGCGCAATACTGACTAGTGTTTGGAATGGTTGGAAGAAAGTTAGGGGCGGCCAAACCAAAACGTGGCATTAGTGCTTGAAGTCACTAACTTCTAGTCTGAGCCATGTTGGTAGATGCAGACTACGTGGTTGGGGTCCGCGTGACTATAGTAACCAATGGTTAGAGACTGTGGGTGGCATGGCTCATAATCGATCACAATGGCGTCGGTGTATATACTCTCTGTCTTCTCTTAAACTAAGAGATTAAAATCACTTCATATTTTACTTTCTATGAACTAATTCTTTCTTCCTGTACTATGTCCTTATATACAATCTTTCTTTTATATATTACCACCATTGAATTAAACACTTCTATGAATTTAGTGTTCATCTTGCTTTGCTAATGCGGTATGGCAACTTGGACCGATGCATATATGTGCCTGGTCTTACGTTGCAGCTGACTGATTGGGACTCCTCAGCAGTGCTCATCCACGATCCCGCTCGTGGGATTCGGACCTAGGACCTATCAGTCTCGCGTGTGAACGCTTAACCTATTGGATCACTGAGCCGGTCAGCATCCAATGATGCTCATGTCTAACTTCAAATAATCCACGAAATTGCGCCACCATCTTCCATTGTACTGAGGTAGACACTTGTTTCTACCCGACACGGATTAGCTCCGCCAGCGGGATCGTGGATGCACACTGCTGAGAAGTCCCACAATAGGGCGAAACAGCTTTCTAGTGCTTCCATTTCTTCAATGCTGGTCTAACATCATCAATCGGTTCATGATCTCAATCAAAAAATTTTTTATTATTATTACTTTTTTTAGAATGTCAAACGAAGATTTTGAAATGATGTAATAGATTTATAAGTTAGATAAATATTCTTTGATTTGCTGATCTGAAAATAGTTAATGCAAAAGTTTACATTATCATTTTGATCAATATTACAAAATTTATTTCTGTTTGTTGATGTTATTTGATAAATCTTGTTGATTGAATGGTATATTCGATTCTTAAGCTATTCTCGTCACCTCCAAGCTAGAATCAGCGACCTAAACACAAGAGAAAAGTCGCAAAATATGCAAGAACCACTTTACTCTCAAGGTTCGTTTTAGTATAGTATCTTAGATGTCCTTGGGTTCCCCGAAAATTCTGGAATGCTACTAAATATAGTAGTAGCGTAGTAATCAGCCAATCAGAAACTCGACATGTGACTTTTTAATTTTTTCTGAATGCTGATTGGATAAAATGCTTTTTAGTATTTTTCTGAGCATTTTTTGTGTGGCTTTTGCTGGAAGTTTTCTAGATCATCCCAAACATTATCCATTAGGATAATCAAAGCTATGAAATTATGTTGATCAACTTAAAGAATTCACTGTTTAAAAAAACAACAACTTTAAACATGACTTATTCTACGTTGTATCTGACTGACTGATTGAATCTTTAGAGATATTTTAAAGGTTATTGACGATTAAAGACAATATTATTAAACATGAGAAAAAAGTTAATAGGGTATTTACTTTCTGAAGTGTTTTAACGCATAATTAGATGGTGGTTGGATGTAGTCGACAGGAAACCCTGGACCCGGGTTTCGTGCTACTTGGCACTCGTTAGTAAGGTATACCTGTAATCTTTGAGAGAACTGGTGCTCCCTGACAGATTCGATCCCGTGTCACCCAGCTTCATAGTCAGAGACGTTATCACTGAGCTATCCGGGACGTGACTAACATCCTGTAGGACTGAGTTGTAATCACAATTGATTGATCACTGGGTGGGTGGTGACCAATTCCTGCTTCGGTCTGGGCACCCGGGCAGTATCACAGCCTACACACAGATATGATGTGGTGCATATATATTTGGTGCCCTCTTGTACCAAATAAAATAAATAATAAAGGATGATTATCCAGAGAAGAAAATGTGATTAACTTACGAAAAGAAAATCATTTTCATAGAAATTCCTGAAAATAATAAAGTTTTTAAGCGGATTAATACTTTTAAACTGGTATCAATGATAATTAGTAGTTCTAGAATACTTTAGTCTAGTAAATTTTGGTGGTTATTTGTTTAATAGAAATTTACTATGGAATATTCTAGGAGTAAATCACAAACCTGTATAATGTTTAGAGATAAATCTATATTTTTTCTTGAGAAACTGACAGTTTGTTTTGAACTAATGTTTTTTTAAAATATAAGAATGGGCTTTGTGGATATTATAGTAATTTTAATAGTTGAGATCATGAGTCAACACTATTGGATGCCAGCTCAGTGGTCTAGAGGTTAAGTGCTCGCACGTGAGACTGATAGGTCCTGGGTTGGAACCTCGTGGGGCGGGATCGTGGATGTGCACTACTGACGAGTCCCATACTAGAGTGAAACGGCCGTCTAGTGCTTCCAGGTTTTTCATAGTGATCTAGCTTCAATTGACTCATGATCTTAACTATTAATGTTTTTTTTTAAAGTTCAGTGGAAGGAAATTCGAGTTCACTATTCTCTTCACCTTACATAATTGGTTTTCATTCATGAGTTCGGTAATTCAAATGTCAGTTAACCTTCTATATCTATACTTATTTATTAAAGAATACAATATGATTAATCACTAATATATGGGTTTAAATTATAGGAAATTATTATGGAGAAAAATCAATTAATTGACAATATGAATGAACGTCTTTCTACAAATCATCAAATACATTTGAATACATCAGAACATGAAACAAATAATGAAATACCATCTAATGTAATGAATTCATCACATTATGATTTGGATTATATTAAAAATTATAAAATTGAACGTGATGGATTAATAAAATTGATAGAAACGATGGAATATAGAATTGATGAGCTTATCAATGAAAAAATGAAACTTGAAATGGTAAGTTTAATAAATAAGAATTTTTATCTATTGCTTGGATCATTGGGTAAGTAATAGTGCGGTTAGACGTAAAGTATTAGAGGATGATGATAAATCAGTTGATGAGGTTTTGAATGTTTGTCGACTGAGATGGTTGAGCCGGGTGTTGCGTGTGCATGAACATCGATTACCACAGCGCACGATGCTAACCGGTGTTGGCGACGGTTGGAAGAAAGTTAGGGGCGGACAAACCAAAACGTGGCATCAATGCTTGAAGTCACTAACTTCTAGTCTGAGCCATGTTGGTAGATGCAGACTACTTGGTTGGGGTCCGCGTGACTATCGTAACCAATGGTTGGAGACTCTTGGTGACATGGCATAGGTGTTTACACTCTTTGTCTTCCCTTCAACTAAAAATTTAAAATTACTTCGTAACTTTCTTCCTACGAGCTAATTCTTTCTCTCTGTACTATACTTTTATATGCAATCTTTCTTCTGTATATTACCCCTATTGAAGTAACCACGTCTATGAATCCAGTGTTCATCTTGCTTTGCTAATGCGGTATGGCAACTTGGACCGATGCATATATATACCTGAACCTGTGTTGTAGCTGACTGACTGACTTTCATCTAAATGTAATTGAATAGTTTCATAGTATTTGGGCGTCAAGTTGATATGAGATGTTTCGCCTAGTAATTTGGTTCAAGCTTTTTTTCCAAGGAAACTTCGGTTTAACTTCAAATTCATTCGTTGTGATTTTCACAAATACAACATTCTTCCTCTTTAATACATAGATAATAATTAAAAAGATGAGTATTGTACTTGTGATTTTGTAAAATGAATTTGTTTAACAGTATTACAATTTAAAGTGGAAAACAGATGATATATTATCATCTGTAATGGAAAGTTAAACATAAAAAATCAAGTCCAAATGAAAGATATGAAATGCATTGGTCTGAAAGTCAACCAATTCATGGATTGATACTACATCTGTATTTAGAGAATAATTAACTTTCTACCAATTGAATCCCATATAAACATATATTATGCGTCGGGTCATACGATAGTAGCTAAGTATAATTAACATATGTATACATTTAGTTTTACATTAATTTAGATACAAGGCAGCTGTTCTACTTCGTGTGAAGTACATAGTCTAGACGTCTAATGTATCAAACCCTACAGCGTTGCTTTATAACTGAAAATTAGTTTGATTACATTGGGAGATGGACATCTAAAAGGCGTTTTGGAATATTAAACTACTGGGACCGGCAGGTAAATGGAAGGCTAACTGGATACGTATAGAAATCCAGTTAACTTGAGTAGGAGTATAGGTTATATTAGGGACGTTTATAGAAAGTTAATTCAATTCAACCGGTTGTTATGATAAAATCATTACGGATTGATTGAAGCTATTACGTTTTACTTTAGTTATATCTTGTTCGCTATGGAGTCCTGAGGGTAGTTTCAATCGCATGTACTATTATTGATGGACATTTCGAGAAGGCTCCTGAACTACATTGTAAAATCTATTTGTCGCTACGTCATTTCCAGTAATGGTTTGGATATTTTCACTTCTAGGTAAGCACAAACTTTACGTAAAGCCGACTATCTGGTTTATCATTTGTAGATAGCTGAAAATGATTTTCTTAATGAAACATCAGATATTGGACCAGTAAATACTGGCCAATCCGTTTCTCTAATTTTGGAACTATATAGGCAACAAAATCCACAAATTTGTTAGAGATTGAAGCAATTATATACAAGACTCTATAAGAGTACACTACTGAGGTGGAAATGAAGTTAGTTCATGGTGTAAACCATAATGAAACTGATATGCTCCTACAAAATCACTTATTAATATAAAAATCATTGTGCATTCGCTAGTGAGTAACTTTAAGAGGTAGCTCTTAGAGCTCTGGCGAGAAAATTCGATCCTTTGAGATCGAATCTGTTAGGGATGAGGCAAATATCACTAGAGTTAATGGATAAAGAGCACTCAATATCGCGAAATAATTAAAGTTGCGATTACAAACCACTGTACGTCAAGTCAATGGTATTTATTCATTCAAACACATAAATAATGGTACAGAGGGACACCGAGTACATATGCATCACACAATTCACTTGATTTGTGTGACGGCTGTGATACTGCCCGGGTGCCTAGACCGAATTAGGTAGTTTCCTTAGGGAGCCACACTCGTTGCCTTTGACCTAAATGTTTAATCCACAAGGCAGTGGCACAACGTCAGGAGATGCAATCCCATGGTAGCCGGTGACCAACGATTGGTTCATATGCCATTTGTTCCTTCAGGATACTGGAGCCCATGTATACCATTGGTTTGGAATCATTGTTTTCCAACTCCCCTAGGTAAACTCTCCGTATCCACTAACCCGGTTAAAGCGCCGAACATTCGCTTTTCGTTCTCTCGATTTCGTAAACAACATCCCCATTGCGAGAGGGCAGTGAGTAGGACTTCCCTGGTAGTATAGCTGTTTACACATGGCTATGTGAGAGCATTTCGAGAAGGAGAGCTAACTCTCCCCACTCTCGGCCGTACTAAGGCATTTTTTGGCGGGGAGCAACTTAGTGGTATGAAGGTTAAATACTTGCCACAAGGCCTGAAATCTATCCTAGATGGGGTCATAAATGTGAACTGTTGAGGAATCTTTTACTTAAATAAAACAATTATCCAATGCTTCATAATTTTCAACAATTATCTAACTAAAACCAATTCGTATTACAATCCAAAAAATTTAAAATGAATAATCTCTACAATCGCTTATAATGAAAACATACACTATTCATTGAAAACTACACAACGTGCTTTATAATTATAATAGTATTATAGTGAAGGAGAACACAGGTGAGGACAACTGAATTATATTTAGCACAACATTACAGAGTTACTTGGTAAAATATAAAAAAACCAATACTATAATACCTAATTTGCAAAATATTCAATAATTGTCTCCAACTTTATTGTTCTTACATTTCTATACTAATTACTTTCTATTCCCGTTTTTTCCTTTCTTGATCTTCCTCCATCTTCTACTGCTGCCAAACATTACATTCCTGACTTGCGTCATATTACTACTTATATCAATATTAAGTAGCACACACCACAATATTATCAAAAATCAATGATCATAAAATATATTTCTCTATTGCTTTTTTTTTCTTTTTTGTTTTTGTTTTCAAAGAAAAATGCTGAATTAACAAGAAAAACTCTTGTGAAACCAAATGTAAAAAATCAATATTTTTTATTCAGTGAAAAATCAATAAAATCCGATGATTCCCATAATAATAATAATAATAATAATAATAATAATAATAATAATAATAATAATAATAATAATAATAATAATAATAATAATAATAATAATAATAGTAATAATGATAATAATAATGATAGTGATAATAATGAACGATTATTTCATTATCTTACCAATGATAATTATATTAAAAATTTAATTCAAAAATGTTCATTATCATCATATTCAATGAAAATTATTATTAAATGTATAAAACAATATCAAACTATATTAATACAATATTATAATGAAATAATAAATTTAAAAAATAATATAAAATTAATATTAGATTATCATAAAGATGATTTTAAATTAATGATGAATATTATTGATGAATTAAAACAACAACAACAACAACAACCACCACAGCAACAACAGCCACCACCACAGCAACAACCAATGCAACAACGACAACAGTAAAGAAAAGAAAAGATATAAAGAAATACACATTTAAAAGAAAAAAAAGTAGTACTTTTATTGATTTATTAATGGGTTGATTTAATGTGATCGTTTTTTTTAAAAAATATTTTTGTTGGTATAAGATAGAATTCTCAGTACGTGGTTGTTATATCTTGTGGGCTGTGTACCCTGTTAATGTATAATGTGATGATATTGCTAATTAGAGAGCAGTGTATTATCGATCGGATCAATGACGCATAAAACCTCTGCGAGCAGTCTAGAGTACTTATGGGTCCTGCTTCCTGCCAGGGCCAACCAGTTAAGTCGAGAACACCAATCTCAGCCTCTGCGATATGAATCATTTATTTCAAACATACTGGGTTTATATACCAACCAGACAGACCACACCACACCATAAAATAGAAAATAAAATTTGTACAAGATTTAGCAAAATGTGGCTATGAATATGGCAGGTAGTAATTAATAGACAGGGCATAAATCAAGAATTGTAAATCGTATAATTATAGTTCATAGGTTAAAATAAAGCTTATAATAAGAGGAATATGAATATGAATAGTTTAGTTAATTAACAATTATACGATAAAAATGTACGTATAGTATTGATCCATAAATGGATCCCAACAGTTATCATTCATTATGCTTATCCGGACATAACAATAGTATTTCAACAAATTGTCTATTTGTTATTTTATGATCGATAGCTGACGATAATATATTAAGTGATCGGTAGTAAGATTATAATAAAAGACATGCCCCTAAATGCCCTGGTACGGCCGAGAGTGAGGAGAGTCCGCTCTCCCTCTCGAAATGCTCTCACATGGCCACGCGTATATAGCCTCTGTCAGGGAAGTCCTACTCACTGACTTCTCGTGGCGTATGAACCAATCGTTGGTCACCGGCTACCATGAGACTGCATCTCCTCACGATGCTCTACTGTCTTGTGGATCAGACCTTCAGGTCGAAGGCCCCGGGTGTGGCTCCCTAAGAAAACCACCTGTTTCGGTTTGGGCAACCGGGCAGTATCACAGCTCTCACACATATCAGATGAGATTTGTGTGGCGCATATGTATTTGGTGCCTCCTTGTACCAATATCTATGTGTTAAAATAAATAAGTTAGATTATAATAAAAGACATCGTGGTGGTTGGCAATATGCGTTGAAAAGAATGAACATTAGTTGTATGTCGATTCTTGAGCTACTAAATTCAACTGCCGATCACTAATTAACAAGGTGAATTATCCTTAATTTTTACTAAGTCAAAATATGTATCGTAATTGTGGTATCATCACAATTCAAGAATATTGGTTAAATGATTTACAAGACGACTACTTAGTATCACTATGTGATTTCAAAATTTATCGTCAGGATTGATCAAACAATAAAAAGAGATGTGGTTGTGGTGTAGCTACGTTTGTAGTCTCTACCTCTTTACATCCCATAGAGAATGAGTTTTTGTCTCGTACTGATTGCTGGTCTGTTGTTAATGGTCTCATACTTAATCCATTTACATGTTAGGCTGTTAACTTCAGCATGAGACATGAACGGCATCTAAACATCACTTTGGGATCCTATAAACCATGTGCCATTGGAGGCTCTTTGGTAAATAAAGTGTCGAAGGTCAATTATCTTGGTGTTGCCTTTTCTTCTGATCTCTCTTCGTCATCTCACGTTTTATTGTTATGGAAGAAAGTTTTCCGTCTGACTTACTACATAAAGAGATTGCACGCTCTTGGAATTACTCGTCATTTACTCTTACAATTTGTGAATTCTTGCATATTACTTATTATTCTTTACTGTTCTCCATTATTCTTTCCCGGGTTTTTGAGAAAAAACTTTGCTGTATTGCGGAGAGTACTGAAAGCAGTTAGCAAGGTGTGTGATGAATCTTTTGAGGTCATAATGAATATGGTTGTAGAAAGACATCTGAAGTCATGCAAACTCCTGGCAGATGTTATCATATCAGGTACTAACCATCTCCTTCATTCATATCTTTATCCTCGTATATCTTCTGGTATAACGCGACGTAATTACATTAAAATCCATGCATGCATGCAATGGTATAAAAGTTCTATATAATACCTTAACCTAGCAAATACACTCTGTGACAAACAGGTTATTAGAGTTAACCTAATCAATAACCTGCATTCTTAACATGTCTCTAATATTACCAGCAACTACGATGTCATTGATTAGGCTCGTTTGTAAGTTGTACAATGAAAGGTCGTAAACTTTTCATAAACTCGCCTGAATAGGTTATGTAATCAGTAGACATAATAATTCGTTAGAAAAAAACAACAAAAAATTAAGTCATTATGTGTGAAAATGATATTTGAAATATTCTCAGCGGTTGAAATTTAACTAATTCCAAACGTTTCGTCCAGCTAACTTGTCTGGACTTCTTCAAGGTAATCATCAAAAGCATCAAAGAAATATATAGCTTTTTGACAGTCAGAATTGTACTGTGTTAAACCAATCATATCTGGATGTTGATTATTTTTGTGTAAACTAGGATAAAATGAGTCAGTTAACTACAAATCATGTGAAGAATTCAACTACATAGAAATAATTAACTGAGTAACAAATCGTATGTGTGTGAGTGTGCAGGTATGTATGTATGTGTAGGAGATTGATATGAAGGTATAAATAAATAAATAAATAAAGAATGGGTTTTGTGGAGAGTTTTAGAAATTTCACAGGTTGAAATCATGAGTCGATTGAAGCTAGACCACCATGGAAAACCTGGAAGCAATGGACGGCCGTTTAGTCCTAGTATGGGACTTCTCAGCAGTGCGCATCCACGATCCCGCACCACGCGGGGCTCGAACCCAGGACCTACTGGCTTCGCGCGCGAGCACTTAACCACTAGACCACTGAGCCAGTCGGCATCCAACAGTGTTAATGTCTAACTTCAACCAATCCACGAAGTTGCGCCACCGTACACCATTGTCTTCAGTGAGTTCTTATCTCACAACAGACCTGGTTGAACTCCACTGGTAACGGCTTTTCACTAGAACTCCAGAAGTTTTTCCTGAAGTCAGTCACTAGTGAGCAGTTGATTATTATCAGAATGGGTTTTGTGGAGAGTTTTAGAAATTTCACAGGTTGAAATCATGAGTGCTTCCAGGTTTTCCATGGTAGTCTAGCTTCAATCGACTCATGATTTCAACCTGTGAAATAAATAAAGTTCAAGTTCAAGGTTGAAAATTTTTTGATAATGAAACATCGATGTACATGTCAAAACATAAATTGTATTAGATTACGTAATATGAATAATAACAATAACAATAGATTTGACAATGTTATGTGTTATAATAAATGGTGAACGTTTGCATCTGTTACAATAAATATACTTCAAAATTGTATTATTTGCAAATTAGATAGGCCATTCAATAAAGGTCAGTAAATTGTTCAGTCACAATAAATAGAATAGTATTATAGCAAAAATCAAAATGAATGAAAATCGTATGAATAAAATGAATAGTAGGAGAATTTCATCGTGTCAATTGAGGAGGAGCCCATCTTCGGTAACCTGTCCTTAATTAGCTGTGTGAGTACTGGTTTAGTTGAGAAAATTACAGGTTTTCAATGGTGGTCTAGCTTCAACTGACTCATGATTTCAATCTGCGAAATAATAATTATGTTGTGTGAATATAATATGTAATAAGGGGGTGTTATCAAGGTAATTACGATCAACGAATTGGGAATGATGGATGTGAAGATTAAGATATAGATAGTGACAAATAATAATAATAATAAGGAAAATAAATAAAAATAACGGAAGGGGGTAAGAGGTTTTCATAAATTGTATTGTTTAAAAAACTCACTGAATTCATGTGATATAAAAAAAACACAGGTTTAAACAAGAGATAGGTTCCAAATTTACTTGTCAAACGAAATTCGCCAGGTAGTTGTTGCCAGTTGAATACCATCTTTTCGGTTCAGGCTGTTCTTGTTCGCCCATATATGCAGAGCTTCTGCTGTCAATCTTTCTTTATGGGTGTTAAAACCTTTCTGAAGTATTTTGGTCCCTTCAAAATTAATCTTGTGTCCTGTTTCTAACGGATGTAACGCTATCGCTGACTTATTTTCAAGTTTCTTTAAATCTACCGAGGATTTTAGAACATTTTTCAAGCATTGTTTGTGTTCCTTCAATCTTACATTTAATTGCCTGGATGTATCCCCAACATAGGTAGCATTACAGTCATGACAGTGAATCTCATACACAATGTTCTGTTGTTCTTCCTTTGCTAACTTGTCCTTAACTTTCACTAATGTCGATCTTAATGTGTTATTTGCTCTAAAATACACTCTTATATCATGTTTGTTTAGAATCTGTTTTAAAGAAGATTATTAAAAATGATAGAAGAACTAAACTAGAAAGTATACGAAAAGAATGGAAGTACACTGTAGTCATACCTTATCGTAGTGAAACATCAGAAGAAATCAAACGGATTCTAAACAAACAATTTAGAGCGAATAACACATTAAGATCGACATACAAACATACATAACTACACGCTCACACACATACGACTTGTTACTCAGTTAATTATTTCTATGTAGTTGAATTCTTCACATGATTTGTAGTTAACTGACTCATTTTATCCTAGTTTACACAAAAATAATCAACATCCAGATATGATTGGTTTAACACAGTACAATTCTGACTGTCAAAAAGCTATATATTTCTTTGATGCTTTTGATGATTACCTTGAAGAAGTCCAGACAAGTTAGCTGGACGAAACGTTTGGAATTAGTTAAATTTCAACCGCTGAGAATATTTCAAATATCATTTTCACATATAATGACTTCTCTATACTCGACGCTCAATTACTGTCAAACTATTCGTTCTAATCTTGACGAATGTTCATATAAAACATAAGTAACTTGTTGAAATATTTAGATGGCAAGAATAAGTGGCCCAGATATTCAAACAAGCCGTCAATGATGTGAAACTAATAATCATTGGAAAAAAACGTAAATACCTACAGGTTTTAATGGGAGACGGGTTTTGTAGTTATTATAGTAGTCACGAGGTGACTTTTGTTTAAACATCTCGACATGATTTATTATAACTAATTGTTGTAACGTGTGGACTGCAGGTTAGATGCGCAGCGTTTTATCGATCGACTA